AAAAGCATCTCCCATATTCCATGTTAATGCGAATGTCAGAAAACACTTCAATCACACAACTGATGCTGGACGATGATGCTATTTGCTTCTCACAATATCATTGCATAACACATGTTGCATCATTAAATGGAGAAAACAAAGCACTAATACTCCAATCCAGCTGAGAAGGTTATGCCACTGGAGTTTAAACGTTGCACTGAATTAGCCCCGAGTCTCCTCACATAACTGCAGGGCACTGGCTTTCAGTATGTGGCCATATGGGCTCTGCCTAGCATAACTGTCACCCCTCATTTATCATGGTGGGGGAAGATGGCTCCACTACGTCCCTAAAATCCTCTTAGCCAACATTTAGGTGATTGTTTCCCCTCCTTTTTCTACCTCTGTTCAGATTATCAATGTGATAAAAACAGGAAGTTTTATTTTATTTATGCCATGGGGTTCCTCTATGGGTGGATGGATGGCTGAGAAAGAAAAACATGAATGTTTCAGCAGTGACTGCATCTGGAGGACCAATATCCAGACAACACGATTGGATTTAAAGGCAAAGCAAACTCAGTAAAAGAAATAAGGGATGTGAGTGCGATTCAGAGCTGTCAGAAAAAAGGTGTCACACAGAGGGACGGGGCGGGATAAATCAGGAAAATAAGACTCATGGCCCGTCGTGAATCTAACACAGAGGTTTGTCTTTGTGAAGATTACAATTGAATCTACATCTCCAGTTGATCAAATAAAAGTTTTCCAGCTTTAAAGTGTTGGTAGCAGCTGTCAAAACCGGGCCTGCATAACAAACACATCCCAATGATAATGTCCTCTTTTTATTTCCTCCACGGCCCACTCTGCAGGCCTCCGTCACAGACACATCCAGGGTCATGGCTCTGACTCGGCACAGCTCCCCATAAACAATATATTCCACCTCAGGCTATAGAAACCACACACTGCATTCGGTAACCAGATCAGATCGTTTGAACATGTGGTTTAGCTTTGTGTTGTTTAAGACAGTTGGGTTAGTGGATTCCAACGGGCAACCCGGTGTGTTCTCCAGATGGCACCGCACACTGTCTTTCCCGGATTGCATTCGGCTCCCAAGTTCAGAGCCATCCCTCCCCCCCCACCTTCTACAATAAAATAAACTGAATGATGAGCATAGAGATTATGTATAGTTAATTCCTGCAAAGTCGATAAAAGAATGCCCATGCTGCGAGCTTAATACTCAGTGTGGGGATTATGGGGACCCCTACATGTGTTGTGGCTGCATACCTCCAGTCAGACTAAACCCAATCTGTTACAGATTTGAAGCAAAGAAGAAAGGTGCAGCAGGCACACGGGGGTGGGTGGAGGGTTTGTGCAGTACACTATTCATGCTTTACAGTACATTCCACTTTGTCTATATCATAGGGGATCAGAGCTAAACCTCCCTTTGGAGGTAGTATTTTTATCTGTGTGCATTAGAACACTAAAAAAGAACCTTGGCTCGTGTTTGGGCTGCGTGCGCTATCATTACTCTTTTTTTAACTGTTTTTTATTTTCCCTTTGCGGTTAAAGGCAAACCCAAATCCCCAAACAGTTTCTTCTTGAATGTGGGCCCAATTAAGCGCATATGTGGATTTTCATATTGAAGCTCATAAAAGGTAAACTCTGGCGATTTACATTACATTTACATAAGGAATCTTAAGTGCCTGCACATGTGAGGTGTGTTAATATTTCTATCAAAAGCATATGGTCTTCACTATTCATCATTTCAACCCAGGGTGTTTCCCTCAGCACGAATCTCAGAAGCAGCCATGTTGTTTTTGATATGCAGAACATTCTTTTGATTCCCTATCAGGAGAGGCCAAACATTTCATCATTTGAAGGCATTCAAGGCATGTTTAAAGTCTGTTCTGTGTTAATAATTATGATTAGTCAGTGAGTGGCATCTCTTGCGTTTTAGTAGCACCATATCTGGTGTAGTCCATGTCTGGTGTTATGGGAATCTTTATTGCATGTATGTTAACAATAAAGTCTGATTTACCAGCGATTCCTGCCCAACCCCTCATGTACACAATTCCAAATATGTACTTGGGACAATTTGGCAGTGAGTGCTGTTCTGGCTGAGTTCAAAAACTTGGCATGAAACATCTGGTTAGACTTTGACATGTAACGATTTGTAAAGTTATTGTTATGATTTAAAATCATGCATATCTTTAAGCAATCAGCACCATTCGTGTTCTGCAAAGGTTTCCACCTGAACAATTGCATTTTTCACATTCTCTCGGGCCATAAAGCACCCTGTCGAGCGTCCACGGTGTTAAAATGGTCATTTAATCCAAGAACAAGCCACAAAATGTGCTGTTCACCGAGAGCAGAGTACCACGAAAAGTCGCAGACGGGCGACAAATGAAAGACAAATCCGACATATGTCTCTGCATGTGTCACCAGAACAACTCAAATGCGTTTTGGGGCTTTTTGGTGTCCAGGAGGATATTTCTTTATTTATAGTAGAGGGCTTTGAACATTTTATCTTAAAATCTCCATAAATGTTCAACTGGGCTCAAATCTGATGATTATGCGGGCTACAGCAATCTCTTTTAACTTATCTAACCTTTCAGTGACCCTTCAATGCCTGCAAATGGGGGAATTGCCACCCTGGAAGAGGGACATTGTTACATCATGGGATTAAGATGATCACTCAGAGCAGCTTTATATTGATTCTCAGTGACCATTCCCTCTAAGAGGACAAACATCAGCACAGTCGACAAAATCAGTGGTTACATCGTGTAATGTTCACTCAGCATTTGCCACAAATGCAGAGAGCACGCTGACGGATGAGTCATCTATGATTTTTATTTTCCACATCTCGACATCGCTTCTCGCGCCGCTGACCTCTCGAATGTGCATTCATCTTTGTAATGAGGGGTTCATGCACTGCAACCCGACTATAAAATCATTTTCCACGTAATTGTCTACGGACTGGTTACACTCAAACAACCTAATGACGTCCTGCGTGAAACACTCGGTCCCAACAGAAAGAGCTGCTCTTCTCTTTTTGTTAAGATCACACACTGGTGCACATTATCGTGTATCCACTGCCTCATGTTTGTCACTGCCTGCCGGGATCTGACGCATTGTGTGCAGTTTTTCCAGCGTGCAGGCATAGAAGAGTGCACATTTTCCTTTAAACTCAGACCAAGAAGTCTCCAAACTGTGAGCTAGCGCTCCTTACTGGACTTGCGAGAAATTGTGAAAGTGAAGATGTTGTCTCAAAAGGCAAAATACAGTGAAAGAAATATCTTTAAAGTAGTTTTAAACCCACCTCTTCAGAACACGAGGTGCCAGAGCCTATCCTACCTTCTATCTCCTTGGGCTGAACTTGTCCCTTTTTCATAATGCAGCGCCTGGATTGAAATGCTGGCACACAAATGGACACCTTTTGTGTACTTCATAAGTAACACCAGCATTTACAGAACCACAGCTTGACATTTTAATATATTCCCATGACAAAATAAATATTTCTCGTCCGTCTGTAAAATGTAGTGTCTCTTTAAACATTGTTGCTATTGAAACACCACTATTTTGAGATTCTTAACCACAACCAACCAGGTCAGCATTTAATCACATGACAACAAGCCAGATTAAATGTTAACAGCAGCATTTTCATGAGGTGACATCCACATTGGTTTGGTTTTTCCCTGCGTTTGGCTTATTCTTTTCCTCCACATGTTTACCCGTCTGTCTGTATGAGAAAAGACATAACAACACAAGGGGCAAATAAGTTACAAAGGGCTTACTCAAAACGTATCAAACGAAAGAAATTGTATTTAAATTCAATCCCTTTCCCAGACAGGAAAGCTCTGACTTTCCACTCATCCTGCAGGGATTTCAGTGTGCTTGAAACGGTCTCGTGTTCGGCTATATTTTGCTGCCCCCTTGTGGCAAGATCCTGATATGGCTGCATCCCCGAAGCAAAAAGGATGATCAGAAATAGCTGGAAACATAGATCGGTGTCTTAGCAGAAACAGAAAGACGACAGAAGGTAATTTTGAAATTTAAACAAGTCGGATTTATTCAATGTTTGTTTCCTTAATCCATTTTTCTTGAGCAAACATTCTACCAGCAGGTGAAGTTTACACTGGGTTGATCTGCTACTCTTTTCATTAAAAGCACTGCTCATTAACTTAGAATCAAGCAAATTTTGAGGGAAAAAATATTTGCGAGGGAACAACATTTTATTGTCAGCCAGACGCTGCTGTTATCAGTCAAACCGCACGCTCTTATGAGCTCAAGGAATTAACACATAAGCGTTTACACACACACACGCACACACACAGACATCAGACTTGTGTATTTGAAATACTAAACGGCAATGCGCAAACAGAACTGTGGAAACTAGTGATTAGCTGTGCAGCAGAGGTATAATTGGAGCCTCTAATTGCTGTATTGCCTCATTGTTCTTTTCTACCTCTAATTTACCTCAATGACATCCCAGAAAAAGCAACAGCTTTGGTCGAGACCATAATGGCTGCAGGACTAGCATTAACTGCGGTTAAACACAGATCTACTTATGGAGGCGATAAAATATTCAAGGCTTTTTTTTTTTTGCACACATAATGTCCATATCGCCAAAGCACAATGGCAAAGGTTAAGGGCATGAAATGACCGAACAAAAGCTTCTACAGGGAGACAAAAACTCTGTGGCGCTTTATTTACATTAGCTTTATAAATTTATGTAATATAGCCTGGCTAGAAGCGCAAGCAGAGAAGATAGAATTACATATTATATTAAGTGCTGGATTTCCCAGACACTACTTAAGCAAACGTTTCTGCAAAACTGCGTGTAACAAAAAAATGTAAGAAACATAATTACATTGCATATTTGTTGCTATATAAACATCCTCTTATCCAAGAAAACCAAATACAAAACAAAAATCTCTGAGATGTCTAACTTTTCTTTCTATAGCAGAGTAAATACTTCACACTTGTCAAATACATTCCGGATTACCATTACCACCTCGGACCAGGCATCAGTTGTTGTTCAGATTAGAGCCACGGGGCTGGATGGTCACCCGTCTGACGGGGGTCTGATCGGCGTTGCGATTGGCCACCAGCTCCTGCAGCTGCAGCGCCCCCCCGCCAATGAAGCAGAACGCCGGGCACACGGGGCCGGAGCAATCCACGTGACCCTCCCACAGGGGCCGCAGAGAGTGGGCGTCATAGAAGGTGACGCGTCCCTTCTCGAAGTCAAGGCACACGCCGAGCCGGGGGGGCAGGGGGTAGGTGATGCCTGAAGGCGAGGAGGGGCCGTTGCCGTTGGTGATGGGGTCTCGATTCCCATTAGCTTGGTTGCTGTGGTGCTGGTGGTGGTGGTAGCTGTGCTGTGGCAGGTAGATTTTCCCCATGCCCATGGTGAGGAAACAGAAAGGGGGGGCCGAGTCCAACGCATCCTCTGCCCCACTGTCATGGCCACTGTCTGGGTCATAGCTGTGCAGACGAGAGGGAAAAAAAGAGGATGGCTCGACTTATCTCCAAATGGCTTTTCAGATCTCTTTGACCCTTTCCGATCCACACGTTTGACGTAAAATAATTTTGGATCTATGTTCTCTCAGTCTTCTCAGTTTCCAAAGGTTTAAGTGGAATAAGCGGGCCAGCTATTAAAGATGGGCTTTTACATTTTACATTTGATATGTTTTTTCTACTTTACTCACCGGGGACTGGCCATGTCCTGTGGAAGGTGAAACCACTCCTGCAGTTTGGACTCCAGACCAACTCCAACCTGTTCGAGAAAAAAAAACAAAAAAACAACATGGCAGCTCGCATCAAAATTCAGTTCAAAATGATTGACTCTGGGTCACCCTACATAAACCCTTATGGGGCTTACAGTTCTTTCTGACCACCGCATCCCTCACGAAAACCTGATCAGGCGCTCTCATCCCAGTGCAGACAGACAGGCTCGATCATTCTGTTCACACGTGTGGTACAATTCTGCTGAAACAGCTCCAATTTACTTGCCTTCACGAGGTAAGATCCAGGCTCAACCGAGCATGCCCAGTAGTGCCTTCCCTGTGTAATGGCTACATCCCCGACGAGAAGATCAGAAGTCAGGTGACAGGAGGTGAGGGCATGATCGGCAGCCTGCAGAAGAGAAAGGCCAGGAACACTGCGAGCTCCACGCTGCTCTTTGCTGACCACCAGCCGGTCCGCATGGAGGCCCCAGCGAGAGTCCAGGTAGAAGTTAAGCACTGAGAGAAAAAGGGGGCCAGGAGCGGTAGAAAAACAGGGAGAGAGCAGATACGAGAGGAATTGAGAGACGTGAGAAAAGACGGACGGGAGCATCCAGAAATGAGAAATATGGGGCACGTAGAAGTGTATTTCGGGAGTCAAGGAAAGGAGAGCTGTACAGATTTATAGTCAGAAGGTAGCAGGTAGCGGGAGGAATAGTGAGGAGCATAAGAAGCCACAGAGAGGAGAGGAGCTGAGAGCAGGCATGCACCTCCTCCCACCAGCACTGGAAGAGAAAAGGACATCGATCTTTACATTGATGACTCAGGGAGTAGAAAACAGGAGGTATCACCATCAAGCTTCAGCAGTGGGAAGTGCAGTTTTTTTTTTTTTTTTTCAGAAGAAAAGAATGAAAATAACAGGAAGGTCAAACAGCCAACAGGGGGCAGGAGGAATTCACCAGTCACTGAAATCGACCACTAAAAAGCCCCTAGATCTGACTCAGATCCACGTTGTTAAGCGTCAGGTCTTAACAAACTGCAAACCTCAGCGGTGCTCGGACAGGCCGCGAGGCAGGACTCAAAATGGGAGGCAGAGGGATGAGTGGGTGTCTAAGAACAGAACGTGTGTTGGATGACCACGTAGAGAAAGAGGGGCAGAGGAACTCTGTGGCATGGGGTACAGAGAGGTGGAAAAGGGATGAATGCACTTCTTACGTTCCGTAGGAGGCATGTTGATTGGCTGCGTGGAAGTAGCACAGTAGAAGATGACAAGTACAAAGCTGTGAAATGGAAACAGAAAAATGAGAGAAAGATAAGGAAATAAAGAGCAAAAGGAGGCCGCTGGAAATGAGGAGAGAGGTGGAGAGATCTGGAAAAAAGCATGGGAATGGAGAAAGAAAAAAAAATGAATTTGAACTAATTTACCATAGCAGATATTCTAATGCCTTTGACAGATGGCTCATAATTGCAGCAAACACATTTGAGGGCCTCAAGGAGCCGCGCCTTAGTGCGTGCAGAGATGTTCCTGCTGCACTTAGACAGTTGTGTATCAGCAGAAAAAAAAAGCGAGCAGGAAAAGCTGGCTTCTACATTTTACACTTGCCAAATGTGTCACAAAAATTTTTCTTAATGTTTTACTGCCTGGGAACCTCTTTAAGATATGCAAATAAAAAGTGTTCTGTCCTCTACACGCTGTTAAACAGGTTTTTGTTTGTGCTGGTTGCAACTTTCTCAAAGCTGGGAGAAACATTCAGCAGCGCTATTACAGAAGCTACAGAATACAGTTGGTGTTTAAGTTACTGGAAAAATTACAGTAAAGGAACTCCAATCATTTGAGATCAAGCGAAAATAATGGGGGAAAAAAGGCGTGCCGTGACAACTCTTACTCAAATAAGAGTTCATTTTCTTTTTTTATTAGTCTGACCAGTGAAATGCGATGTTGAGTTCACCATAAAAACTCCAAATATTTTGGTAGACCAGGAATGGTCAGAACCATATTGTATTACATTAACCATATTGTATTACATTAACCCTTCACATTTTGAACTCAATTTATCCGTGGGCTTGTAGAGAAAATGATGTCATTACACTGAAAACAGTTTGCATGATCAATGTGGGTGTTAGCAAGCATTGATGTTCTAGCTATAGAGCTAAATGTGTCCTTGTGTTGCTTATCATCCATTGCAGAGCTTTAAGTACAACATAGTTTGTCTCACTCTGACTTCTGAGTCTTTCTCTTAACAGAACAAGAAGAAAAAACAGCAGACTTAGTCCGTTTACTTATTAAATTTCTATTACTAAAGAATGTCCAACTGCATTAGAAATGAGAGTACTCATTTATGTTTTCAGTGTGCTTTCGGTAACTTTTCAGATCCCAGAAAAGATTGTTTTTAATTCTAGCCCGTGACAAAAAGGTACCTGCCAAAGATCTGATTTTAAGATTTCCGACTGAATATCAGCAGCACATAACTGTTTTGCAATTCTTACATATTGTTAATCAATAATAATAAGAGAATGAGGCATCATAATGGTGTATGTATGTTCTGTTGTGCTTTGCCATACTGGTTACTTTTATATGCAGCGTTTCCAGAGTGGCCTCACCTGGTGCGGGGGGGGTGTGCAGGTACACCTCCTCGCTGTAGTCCCCGTAGCCCGCCTTGTTGCAGCCTCGCACCCGCAGCACGTACACGCTGTCCATCTCTAACCTGTCAATCACAGCACTGCTTCCACTCACTTCATCCAGTCGCTGCCATCCCCAGCGGGCGGCAGCCAGGCCCCCTCTGATCCCACCTCTGGAGGCCCCCCCAGGCACCACCCCCCGGCGGCGGTACTCCACTGAAAAGTGCCAGGAGGGGGCAGACTCCTGGGGCAGTCGCCAGCACAAGAAGAGCTGGTCATAGGCCAGAGTGCGCTGGGTATCGATGACCGGAGCCAGAGGAGCTGCGACGAGAGCGGGATCAATGTAGGGTTTCTCTACTCAGGAAATGCACCTATAGCTAAACACCCTTCGCCTTCCCCGCCCTCACCCCCGCCCTTTGGTGCCCCTTCCTGTCAGCACTCCCCCTCTCACCCTGGATGAAGTTCAGCTCGGTCAGGAGTTTGAGCTCTTTGGACACGTCCAGCTGAAAATGTCTGAAGGACGGGTCGGCTGCCAAAGTGAAGTGCTGGAGATTCTCAATGGCCTTGCTCAGCCTGGTGCAATCACAACAGGATAAGAAACGTGAGAGGAGGAGCAGTGTTTGCACTTTGCTTTCATTCAGATGGGTGGGTTGCAGACACAGACCGATAAGGTGGGAGGTTTGTTTAGAAAAGATAAAATATCGTCTCGGCGTCACAAAAACATGCAGTGAATGAGGCCAAAACGAAGAGCACCCCGATCTCTTCACTATTCATCACGTTACATCAGCCACTCCTTTAAAGACAGCCTACAAAAATGTTGTTGTCCTGGTCCGAAATGAGAGCAAAATTGATTGACGGCTGCTTTCTTTTCTTTAATTATAGGGCTGCTCAATATATACAAGAAGAGAGCACACTTTTTACTCCAATGATGTCTGTTATTAGCTCAGAGGATCAGAACTTTTATGGATCCTCCTAAATTGGATTAATTGTCAATTAAAAAGATTTTCACAGATTCTACGGCTAAGAAAAATAACTTTTTATCATCTGAAAAATCTAAGTTTGGTTTTAAACAGGTCGTTTTAATTAAGCTGGAACTAAAGAAACAAACTATTTTTTAAATGTTTTTGTTATCAAAATGTAGTTTAGCTAGCATCAGAGATTAAATGGGAAGGTACATAAGTGAACGTGGCATATGTAGCATAGACATCTGACACATGAGTAGGTTATGAGCATTATAAGACACGGTTATCCTCTGTTCTAATAACAACGTCTACCAGTCAGGACAGGCCTTTTCTGTGCCTTATGGAAACAAATGGAAAAACCTGTTATGAGTATGGCGAGCGGCCTGCACGAAACAGGGCTGGTCTGTTTCTTTCAGCAGCTCCTGGGTGAAGGCCATGAGTCCCGCGTGTTCCATCAGGCCCCGCCTCTCCGTCACCTGAGCGGCCAGAGCTTCGCCTCGCTTCTGCCGCGCCGCCTCCAGAGCCTGGGTGAGCGAGGCGTGCCGCTCGGCCAGGGCGGCGGTCAGATCCCTGATGCTCTGGGCCAGCTGCTCCCTGGCTGAAACGCTGTTTACCTGGTGACCAATGACGCGCGTCTTAAAACCAGCACTCGGCGGAGGGGGGCTGCCGAGGCAACTTCAAAGGCAAGTTTCGCTTCTTTCGAGAAGCTTATGTACATCCAGTGTCTTGTAACGGACACGTCACTTGGTCATAGTTTCCCCATCTGCTTGGACACAGCAATGACTCCATAAGCATTTGTTAATTTACTCTTGTATGAACTGAGACATTTGATGTGAAGATGGGTTAGGTTAGGGTTGGCCCGGTTGTCCCACAGTTCATCCTAGTTTATCCTAGTTTGTCATTGACTCTCCTGCTCTGCTGGTTGTGTTACGTCGGTGGAGATCTTGGGGTGCATCGTGCCAGGACAAGCCACCCACCGATTTTCAATGAAAATGACCGCCCCATCCATGTCTGGGCTGCGGGAGAGCTGGAGCTCATCCCACCAGCTGTCAAGCAGGAAGTGGGTACGCCCTGAACAGGTGTTACTCCAGCCCAGGGAGACAAACAACCCTGCCAGCCTCTTCTCGATCTCAGGGTGTTTTCAATACCTTCCTTCTTTATTTGAACTCATAAGGATCCAGAGTGACACAAATAATTGAAAGTAGAATTAATTTCCTAAAAATGGAAATTATAACCTATAGCAGATCTTTGACATTTGGGTTTATCATTTTTCATGTGGCGTACAGGGCTCACTTGGGCATTTTTCTATTCCCTTTAATTCTTACTTTCATTAGAGTGGTCTGGGTTCTTATGGGGTTAGATCTAAAATCACCAATAAATCATGCATGATTTTGGATTGTGAGGAAACTCTCCCAAGCATGGGAAGAAACTAAAAGCCTAGAGCATAGATTTAATCCTGGAAATCTATGTCAGACCACTGTTAACTTCATGCTAACACAAGCTTTCACAATAAAACGTATTTATCACCTCAGTCTGAGTGATGGAGCTCTCCAGCTGGGTAATCTGAGCCAGGACTGTGTCCTGGTTGGACATAATGTAGTTCATCTCTTTAGTTATTTTTTCCTGTTTGAAAAACACAAAAACACAACACACAGATTAAAAGTTACCCAGAGCTATAGATCTACAAATTTATTATAAAAGATATTTCTATGTTCATTAGCTGTCCTTTGTAGCAAACTTTTCCTTTGGCACAGCGTGTCACACCTTCAGAGCCTGGTAAGCCTGAGCCACTGGGAGGATTTTGTGTCCACCGTGAATGCGGCGCAGTTTACAGAGAGGGCAAAGCAGCCGCTGACAAGACCTGCAGTAGAACTGCAGCTTCTCCTGGTCGTGCTCCGGACAGGTCAGGACCTGGAGAGGAGAGGGCCATTAAATCATAACAAATTCATCTAAAGGTAATCTATTTTGCAGACAGACGCATAAGAAAGAGCAACGACTGCATTGCGGGAACAGGGAAGTAGAAACAATGGGGAGGACTTTTCTGCTTCTGTTATTCTTGTCTATGTGGGTCAGATAATGATAGCCTGTCTCGAAGATACCACACCCGTCATCCATTCAGAGAGAACTCCCGCATACGCAGGGAAAACATGCTAACTCCACACAGAGAGGCTGCCAGCTGCTAGCCACCACACCACCGTGCAGCCCCACTCCCATCCAGACAACACAAAAACTACAGCCAGTTTGGAAAAAGAAAGCCCTTTTCATGTTCATCCGATGGTTTGAATGAACCATCCGTTAAAGTAGCTCTCATAATATCAAAAGCCGTGCCTTCTTAGGTTTGTGAAGACATGTTCTCACACATTAATTTTAAGGGTTGCCGCTGGGTTGCTGGCAGAAATACGCGTAGAGCCCTCCTGAAACATGTTTAGAACAAGTCAGGACCTGGAGAGGAGCCTACCTGAGTGAGAAAACATCCTTTGACAGATTTTCTTGCTCAATAAATAGGGAAAACACTGTGTAGGAAAACGGCTAAACAGAGATATGTAATTAAAATCCTGCTATGTACAAAAACAGGTTTAAGGACTGTAAATGTAATCCCAGATACATTTGACTGTGTTGTAGAAAATGTTTCACTCTACTAAAGTACATAAACTATCTTTTAAAGACTGTACCTTTGGTCTGAAGTTGAGCGTTGGCTGGATGTGCTCATGCTGTGCCCGTGGCGTTCCCCAGGGGTGATAGAGCTTGAAACACTCATTGCAAAAGTTGGATCTGCAGTCAGCACAGCCCTTCGTGGCCTCGAGAGTGTGCGGAGGCTTACAGAACTGGCACATCACAGCAACGCTGCCCAGGCTCACCGTGTGCCTGTACCTGGTTGACAAAGCACCGAAACTGGGTGACTGCCGTTCATCGGCCTACTTTATTTCAACGTGATTAAATATGTTTACTTGTTTTTTCAAATGAGATCTGCTCAGTGCAATCAAGAAAAACTCAAACCAGAAGGTTAAACCTGCCGGCAAAGTCCCCAGCGGGGAGGGCATTGAGACAAACGGCATGAAAGAGGCGAGAAATTGGCCCGAAAACCACTGGACGGTGGAAACATGCAGTCATTAGGAGGTTGCTACTGTGCAGCATGTTGCAGTGCACGCTGTGCAGGATTCTTCACAGTTCAGCTGCTGCTGAATAATGACTATCCGATTTGGACGCGCTCCCAATCCCCCCTGTTTTAGGTCAGAGCCGTCCACTCGGTTGCGCTGGTGCCTTGACCTCATCTGCACCGACGGCAAACCGTCCCAGCGTCGGCCCCCGTGCGCACATCTTTCTGACGGCGTGCAGATGTGTGTCGACAAAAACCAACCTCTCCACGATGCGCTCCAAGGTGAGGTTGCGGAGACAGTCGGTAAGGCCCTTCTCCCCCAGCTCCACGTCGCGGCCACAGGGGACGCAGGGGAACATCATCACCAGGGGCGGGCCCTCCTTGCGGCGTCTCCCTGGATACGTGCCGTACCCGGGCGACCGGGGCATGGACGGGGACGGCGGGTGGGGACCTCCGAACATGAAAAACACGAAAAACCAGTTACGGACAGAGTGCCAAAGCTAAACTCAAGTGTTCCCCCCCTCGCCATGCCCTTTAACCCCTGGAGCTCAGATGGAGTGGAAACGAAGAGGCGCTCTCACCTGAGCGCAGCACCCGGTCGATGGGCCGCTGCTCCGCTTTGGGGGTGGGCCTGCGAGCCTGGCGGGGCGAGCGCATGTTGGGCGTGGAGGCTGGGGAGTTGGGCTCGGGAGGAAGCTCCGGCAGCGGGTAGCCATTTGCCACCAAGACCTCGGAGGCGCAGAGCAGACAGACACTGTGCTGGCACGGCAGCACCACGGGCTGTTTGACGATGTCCTTACAGACAGGGCAGTGCAGCTCATGCTCCAGGCTCTTCATGTTAGACTGTCGGAAGCAAAGGGGGGAACAAATAGTTTCACTTTAAATCCTACATGGTTTCCATACATATTTATGTATTTATATAGATGACACAATGTCATATAAATACGTACAGACATTTGCTCGTATTCATTTGTATCTTATAAATAAGGTTATTTGAAAAATTGCATTCAATTCAAACCGGGGAAAAAACAGCATTCAAAAGCAAGACAGGGGTCCGAGTGGCTCAGGTGAACAGCTGCTCTGAAAAGGCACCATTCTGATTAATTATGGATAAATGCCAAAGATGAAATATTCAGTATCCCTTAAATAACAGTCTTGCATATAGACATGAGGCCCTTAAATGGGACCTTCAGTTTGCTTTACTGACACTATGAAAATTAACTACACTTCTCCAGTAGAGCATGCTTCATAGAAGACCGTTGGCTTTTATAGAAACGGAGCATATTTAACATTTGGAGGAACATGACCCACTGTAAGTGTTACTTGTTTCTGGTGGTGGGCTTCATTCTCTCTGACATTGACTTCTGAGCATGAACCTTCAGTCTATCGGTCTGTGAAATCCCAGAGACCGGAGCTGTGCAATAAGTGGACATTCGGACTTCTGGAGCAGTCAGCACATCACAGCTACACTTGGGGGCATGGATTTGACAAAGCGGCTCACAGGCTGGTGCAGAAAAATTGTGACTTCACACCTGCAGGCACTTTCAAATCCACAGCTGTCAAACTGTAAAAGGTCCAACTACTTCCTTTAGAACCGGAACACCATCTCACTATCCGTCTGCATATTAGACAGATTGTGTGGTCATTCCGTATCTGTTAACGCGGCACAGCTGGATTTTTGCACAGGACAGCGGGCCGGTTCTCTCTTCCTTCACCTGATGCCCTTGACACACTATCTCAACCTTCAACCAAAAGCACAGACCCAGCGTTAGCCGCCACAGACGCTGGGAATTCACTTCAAAATGAGGACGCGACAAAACTGTCTGCACTGCACCGAGCATGGGGGTTTTCTGTGGGTGATGTGATGCGATGTGATGCAGCAGCAGGACCCCTTGTCACAGCACCCCGTAAAGCCCTGCATGGGGGTGCAAATGCACCATCAGGGAGCACACATTAAAGAGGATTCAAAGGGACGACAAAACACACAGAAATGCTGACCGGCGAAAGCCAATCTTTCCAATCTTTCTCAAAAAAATGTAACAGTTACACACATCTCCAAGGCAGAATTAGCTGTGTTTCTCCAGGGTGGGGGGACTGAGCCATTGAAGCCTTGGTATACATTGAAGCATAAAATTGGATTCCCCGCATAATCCCAATGACCCACTCTCTCCCTCAGTCCCCCTCAGCCTCGGTCCCCCTGTCATTCTCCAATGTCAATTCTGGCCTGTCCATCCCCTCACCCAGCAGACCGGCCACACGCAGTTTCAGGTTACAAAGACTCCTGCAGGCTGCAGAAGTCCCGGCTAAAGAAAGGCCGGCCATTTGCATCCGCCTTAAATGTGCCGTGCGCGGCGGCGCGGCCAGGGCGCAGAACCGGCGCATCCTTACCTTCACCTGGAATCTAGGCGCCATGACAGTAGACTACGTGGGCTAAGGCTATATATCTCCGCATGTAGAGCAAAGCGACGTTTCCAGCGGGTAGGGGAGGGGTTTGAAGCGCCACACCGCCGGCCAGCGCCGAGGTGTGAGATGGGCTCCGGAGGAAATGGGCCGCGGCGGCTGATTCGTCGGTATGAAAATATCCGACCATTTCGCCCTCCCCTCTCACACCTATGACTGTTTTTTGTTTTTTTTATTGTTGTTATTTTCCGTTTAGCTGCCTGACACGTGCCCCTACGTGCACCAATCTGTCCATCTAGGCTGAACGTAACCGTGGATGAAAGCCGCCGCCCGCAGCATCCAGCCCTGCATCTCGTCTCCTTGGAAACGACCATCCAGTGATCCCCCCCAAAAAATAGAAACGTGCCGTTTCAGTCTCCACCAATGCTCTTTCTCCACTGCATTTTTCACAACACGGGCGCATCTAATCACATCGTTTTCTTCCCTGCTCATATTGAAGCAGGGCAAGCTGAAGGAAAGAGAAATCCACCGGTCTTTTGTAACTGCTGACATTTTGAGGCCACATATGCACTACAGTTCCGCTTATCTCGGCCAAACAACCGACGTGAAACCGCTTTCATGGCCCGATTTCCACAAACATAAAGTGACAACACCGAACCAGACCTTTAAACAGCTACTCACGCTGATACGAACCAGAGCTTCCATCGCTGATGTGGCTGTTTTTAGATCCATCTCTGCCATTTGAAAAAAATAGCTGTCCCCTTTCTTCATCATCTGAATACAAAACAATACGTATCCAGGCCACGGCCCATGTAAGGCATGCTACTAACGCAAAAATATCTTTATTTTTAGCGCTTTCGGCTATTTTTTTCTTCTCTAAACCCAGATTCGCGTGTTGGAAATCTTTCGTTTCCTCGTTTTACCAAAAGACACTCGTCTGGGTTTTTAAAATGAAATAAAAAAGCATCGTTATCAGAAGCGTTTAGACAAGGATGAACAAAAAAAAATCAAATTTCAAGATTTGATTCAAATGTCAACATACATCTGTGCTGAGGATGAACAGATGCCTGTTGGTTTGTTCCTCACCCAGACACCCCGCCCCCCACCCTTCCCATCCCGGATGCCTTCAAATGATGAAGCACACAGTGGAGAGAAAGCCTGTTGTCACAGTGAGGGGGGGGGGGTATCTCTCTGATTCCGCGATCTCTGAACGCAGATCTCGTTTATATCGAGCCTGCATTTTCTCAGCCTCTCACGCTGACATAGTGTTGATTAAGCTTGATGTGGCTGAGATGATGGCTCATTTCCAAATGAATTTATATAAATATCATTTCTATCAAATTTACATTGGATTTACAGCTTTAAATGACTTGTGGGTTGGGATCGTTTGCTTACTATCAACCAAAAACAAAAGAGTATTTAAACCTCAGCATGAGCATATGGTTTCACTCGTTGCTTAAAGGTCAGGTAAATAATTAATGACTCACTCAGCCTAAACTGTTATACCGGAGACTGGCCACACTGCATTAACATAGTTGCAAAATGACCTGTGAGCATTACAGATTTCCCATCAGGCAAAAATGAAAGCTGTACATACACATCACAGCTTCACATCAAAAGAAAGTTTAAAAAAAGATACAAATCAGGGCCACATTGTTCTCTTGAAATGGTTCATTGATTGATGGTTCGTTGATCTGATTCATCAGAGTTGCGTGTGAAACCTAAGAAAGTACACATGACTAGTTCGTTTGTAGACAAACAGGCTAGATCACATTTCAGCTCTGCAGAGCAGCATGTTTAGTTTAAAAACACACCCACCTCTCCAGCACTGCAGATCGATTTCCACCCTTCCACCTCTTCGGACCTCCGTCTCGGTGAGTACAGAAACCTTTGACAGTGTTGGGCTGTTCTGGTAGGAGAAAACTAGGAAAAAAACTAGGAGAAAAACTGGGAGAAAAACTATGGCAAAGACAACAGCAATGATGTTAGCAAAGGGCAGCCCCTCATACATTGTGGTTTCACTTAACAGTGCATTTACTCAGCTCCATTATTCCAATTGCAACCACTTCCAACTTGTGGATAGACATTAAGTCCATCGTTAAGATATTGTTTATGACCACATTGCCACATGATTAATCTGCAGCGGTTAATATCAACAGACAGAGAGTCACCACCGAGAAGGAGTCATAATGAAATGGGGCGGTTTTGCCTAAATATTAAAAATGATGTTGCAATCTCAAAGTCTGTGGTTCATATTTCAACAATTACAAAAATAAAGAAAGGAAGAAAAAGGACAAATTGAGATCGATTATTTATTTTTTCCATTTCAGATTGTCTTTTTAAACCAGCCACCATCATGTCTGACATCCAGAAGGCCATGGCTCTCCTCATCACCTCCTTCACTAAATACTCCAGCAGGGATGGACACAAGAACACCCTGATTAAAGAGGAGCTGAAAGATCTTCTGCAGGATGAGTATGGACACATGCTGCGTGTAAGTGACCTTTGACCTATCTCAGTCCCAAAAAACACAAGAGCACACTCCTACATAGAGCTTTGCATTCATGGAACGGTGAATAGAAATCATGGGTACATTTATTTCTGCCTAATAAAGTCAAATGGAAGTTTGTTTTTATGATCATTAAGAGTAACACAACATCACAAAACCAATTCAAATAGCACATAATATATTGTTTTATTTCCCTCATTTGCAGGACGGCAATGGCAAGGATAGAACGGACAAATTCTTCAAACAAATGGACGAGAACAAGGACGACAGAGTGGATTTCGTGGAGTTTGTCACTATGTTCGCCTGCTTCACTATGATAATGAATGATTCACTCCATTTAGAGTAATTGCACCATTCCAAGATGTCTGATTTAGTGTTTGGAAAATAAAGTCAAATTTGATTCCTTTGACACATATCCCATGCAGAATAAATGCATTGAGTTTTTTTGTGCGTTTTTATTGTACTTAGTAAATATCTCTTTCAAAACCTTTTCCCTGTATGTGTTAAAAAAAAGCTCCTACATGGGAACAAAAGTTCATGAGAGCATAATCCTTTCCTTCATATTGTTATATTTGAAGAATTAAAAATGTTCTCATGTTCCCACCCTTAAATAACACCACAGATCTTAATGTACGATCTGCAAGTTCCAAGCTGGCGTAAAAGCTTTTGTACCTAAAGCACAACATGGGTTTGGTAGGAAAACTATCACAATCTCAGTTTTAAAGAGGCAAAGGTAAGCTTTCATACCACTGTGACCACTCCTTTAAGGAGTGTTCATCTCTAAACATACTTTAATCCCAAATACCAACTGCTGCGGTGGGGCAGGGGAGGGAGTTTCCCTTATATTTAAAAACCATCAGAGATTGTTTCGTCTTCACTGTTTGCTCACATCTTTGACTCCAGGTAAGAACAGGACAGATATACTTCTTTTTTCTTTTTAAAAAACTATTCCATTCATGTTACTAGCAAACAACTTTAGAATCTCATATCCTCAACTGCTGTTTTCAGGGAATCTGCTCCGATTTTTGCCAGGTAGGTGAGAGCATACACCGTAGGTCCAGATATCATAGAATATGACGACGGCAAATGAATTGCATCTGCATTCCAATTTGTTATTTATACCTGTAGTCTGTGTCTATATCGTCCCAGAGTAGTAATCAAGACAAAGATGGGAAACTGAGCAAAGCCGCCTTTCTACAAATGCTGAAGAAAGAAATGCCAACGTTTGGTCAAGTGAGGCTAATCGATGCATCTCTCACCTCCATTCGTGTTTTGTAGTGTGAGGCATCGAGGCAGACATGTAGCTATCTAAAAGTAGTCTGAATGAAAAAACTCTTTACCCTTTGCATAAATTATTGTTTCATATAGCTGGTAATAGATGCATGTTCTAAATTGTCATTAATGCAAGGAGCACCTGGAAAATCAATAGCGTATTTCTTATAAAGAAACATGGAGATGAGATATTCCAAGGTGTGAACTTGAACACCGATGGAAGTGTGGCGTCTGTTTTGCTAATCGCCAGTTTGGCTTGCAAAATGACGAAACCCTCCAAAAGATGATGCAATAGTCAGTGTAATGACTGTGTCAGAACATAATGAATGCGACAGCAAAAAATCAGTATTTTTGACCCAATTTGTATCACACTATTCAACAATAAAAATGTGGTTGTGAAAAAAAAAAAAAAAAGGTTTCTTGTTCAGTATGTTCGTTTCTGTTTTCTGTCAAATTATGTGAGGGTCAGATATGGGACTGATTCAGTCTGTAATGAAATCCAGCTTGCAAGCTTCCCTTTGTATCCTCAACAAAAACCTGTTGAATATGTTTGAATGTAGAACGGACGTGTTCGAGCAGAAACCTCGACATGTGGTAACTCACCTGTGAAATATGTGACATGAGAGGATTTCCCAACCTCAGTAACTCTCCCACATTTCAGAAGAAACAAGGAGGGCTGTGCAACTTGTTCATGTTCATAATGATGTTCATAATGATTCATTGGTATAAATATAGAATCCTACTAATGATTCATGTTCAAATGAAACAACTCGACTACTAAAAACTGTTATTTATCTATACTTTCAGTAGTCCTGATATGCTGATGCTTTACTGATATGTTTAGCTTCTGCCTCCAGATGGTGCTCTTGTGGCTATCCATCCATCCATCCATCCATTATCAATACCGCTTATTCACGGGGGGAGCCTATCCCAGTGATGAACGGGCGAGAGGCAGGGTACACCCTGGACAGTCCGCCAGTCCATCGCAGGGCCACACACAGCACATACAACCACACACTCAAATTCACATTCACTCCTAAGGGCAATTTCCCCAATCTCCAATCAACCTAACATGCAGGTTTTTGGACTGTGGGAGGAAGCCGGAGAACCCGGAGAGAACCCACGCAGACACAGGGAGAACATGCAAACTCCACCCAGAAAGGTCCTGGTTCCCCCGGGATTCGAACCCAGAACCCTCTTGCTGGGAGGCGACAGTGCTAACCACCACACCACCGTGCCGCCCGCTCTTGTGGCTATTCCTATAAAATTCTTCCCTTTGATTCACTGAATCCTTGTTAACAGATTCCAAAAAATGAAATGCACAAACTGGCTTTAATTCAATTCTAATTTAACTGGATGAAGAGCCAGAAGAGATGACTGGAAAAATAAATACACGAGAAGCAATTAATGTGCAGTTTTTTGTTGATCTATAACATGAAACAGCTAAAAGATATATGGCTCCATGGTTGGTTGTGGAAGTCCTTTTTAGCTGTCCATCCATCTTCAAAACCAGAAGCTTGCACCTGACTCAACAAGCTGCTGACTTTTTAATCCGACATCCTGTTTCTAAGCCTAAACTTGACTCTTCCATCTGAATCATTGATGGTCAGGCTCAGCTGGCTTTTGCATTTCTCGAAACATTTCAATTCCACAGATGGACATTGTAGGAAGGTAACTTTGGTCTTTTATACATGACAGGAGACAATTTACCTGCAGGCAACATCTAACAGAGCAGTAATGTCACTGACATGATGTGTGAAATGGTCTACTGGGAAAGAAAGAAAAAAGCTTCTTTTTTTTTTAACCATGTATAGATTTAATTTGAAGGTTTCCAGGGAAACCACTGCTGCGTAACATGTGGTGAAGGATACACCTGAGTTCCATAGCCTCAGGAAGCACTGCTGAATGCCACCCAAGGTTAGATTCCATATAAACCCTGAAAAGCCCTAAGCAAACAAACACGACAATGACCAAGAGAAAAGCCTGGGATTTGTTTAATATTAATACATTTTTATGTATCTATCAAGTATTTAAATAATCAACTTTATTTAGCAAGATATATCATTCATTAGAAGTCAGATTTAAAGGAAAATTTTACTTGGTAATCAAGTAATAGGTAGTCATTTTTATTTTGCAGTACCACACAACCACCACATGGTGGCGATAAATTCATTATCAACTCCTGAGAAGTCTAGGTAAGCAGAAACTGGAAGCATGCACCCCCAGGATTCGTTTTTTTTTCTGTAAACATCAGTGAGACTGTCTTAGGGGTACAATAAAGACATTTTTTTTTTTTTAAGTTCAGGATCCCTTTCTTTTATTTTCCAAGTTGTCAGTTCGATTCACTGGTGCCTGTCCTTTTAAATCAGTTCAACTTTTCCTGTGTCTGGAGGCAAATTCAACGATTAAATGGATACATAAAAAAATATATATATATCACTGCATGTGAACTTTTTGTCGACGTTTGCCGTGTTTTTTCCTGACGTGCGCTCCTTTGGCCCCCGTGCGTTGGGGGCGGGTGGAGTCCGGCCTGACGCACCGCTGCGCAGCCGGGGCGGCGCCTGCCTATAAAACCTCCCCTGCTCTGGCTGCAGACTTCTGCCTCCCCCTGTGCTGGACACGTCTACGCCTGAGAGGTAAGAGCTGCTCTTTCCATCCAGGTCAACCCCAGCCAGGACTCCTAGTGGATTTTTTTTTAGGTGTTTGGCTTTAATAAAGGGGTGCTGAATGGGGAAGAACCTCTTACAGTTTTACGGAAAACTGTGGTCAATCTGTGACCTTTAATCACATTTATGGAAGAGTGATGTGTTTGGCTCGTTGATTATTTTTAGTTGTATCAGTTTGAAATCGACTTTTTAAGGTTATTTTCAAAGAATGGTGGAATTGCTGTGGTCATTTTTTCAGTTCTCTCACATTTCCTTCAGTTTGTGTGTGTGTGTGTGTGTGCGTTGTTAGTCATGCAGTTACACTATAGAGTGCAAAAGGGCGTGGTTGGAGTGTGGGCATGTACACACAAATGATCTACCGCTACCTTGTCCTCTCTCACTGAATCCCACATTTCTGGGCCTCAAACTTCTCAGCTTCTTTAACTTTTCCATTCCCTCTTACACAAATAATGCAATCTGAGCCTTCCCTCCCACTTCTCCTTTTTCCTCTGTTGCCGCTGAGAACCAAGTCCTTTTTTAAAGAATCTTTTTAAAGTCTTGCTGCTATCATTTTGAACAACTTAATTATATGTTCTGCATAATAACGTAACCACTGTTTACTGACTAAGAGAAGAACTCATCAGTGGAGAGCTAACCGTTCCTCTGTTGGTGTCAAAACAGATAAACTAATCCTCTTACAATGCAATCGCTTTTGCAGGTTAAAAATCTATCACTGTACAAAAGAATTATCTTGCTCAGATCTAGATTTTGGACTGGGTTACAGACTGATGACGCTGTAAGACCGGCTATTGTTTAAAAAAAGAAGAGAGATTCACTTTGAGATTTTCAGATCCTGCAATTTTGATTGGCCCATACCCTTTAAAGAGCTCAGATCATGTCATCATTGTACCCTTCTCATCCAAGAGCCTCTTGACAAGATTTCTATCAGGTTTTACGAGGAGAAAAAGTACTCCGGTATTTCACTGCTCAGAGGAATGTTTCTGAGACTTTATTTCAAACTCTTAAAATGACACACGCACTCAATATTTTTCTACTGTGTCTGGACGCTGTTTTCCAGTCTAAACCCATTCCACCAGCCATGCCTTCAGAACTGGAGACAGCCATGGAATCCCTCATCACGGTGTTCCACCGCTATGCCTCAAAGGACGGTCGCTCTGGCACTCTCAGCCGGCGAGAGCTCCGGGAGCTCATGGAGAACGAGCTGTCTGGTTTCCTAAAGGTAGGAGGAAGTTGTCGACCATCTTCACACTCGCGTCATTGTTTTTATAGCCTGGCACATAGTTTAGTGTTAAGTGAACTCCTCCTCAACACCTCTTGCTGTCGTGCAGTCTCAGAAGGACCCCGCTGCTGTAGACAAGATCATGAAGGACCTGGACACCAACGGGGACGGCCAGGTGGACTTTGAGGAGTTTGTTTCTCTGGTTGTTGGACTGTCGATTGCGTGTGAGCAGTGCTATCAGATGCACATGAAGAAGACGGGGAGGAAGTAAAAGACGACAGAAAAGAGGAGCTCAAAAAGCATTTCAGTTTTGTAAAGATTGTTTCACCCATTAAACACACTGAATCATTTCCAGTCTCTTGTGTTTCTTGGTCAGAGCACTTGTGACCACCCCTCCTCCCTCTGTCCACTGCAGAGAACTCACTATCTGTGCCATGGAGATCGGTGTGATAAAAAAAATTCCCACCTGTACTTTATGCTGTGGTTAGCATGAAAAGGCAGGAGAACCTTAGACTCCATTCCTAATAAAATCCTGCTTATCACTGCCCTGGGGAATCTGGAGAATGTTCCAGGCCTGAACACACCCCTCTGTGAGACACAATTGCTCAGCTGATGTTGCAATTCTCCCTGAAATGATGCATCCACCAATGCATGTTCAAAGTGATGGGGCAACAGAGGACGGTTTGCTGCAGGCATTTTCCAGTGATTTCATTGGGAGAGCCTTCGGCAAAGTGTAGGAGCATGGGGGCTTTGGGTCACAAGGGGAACTTGATGAATAGAGCCGTTTTCTTTCAGTCCAGATCTTTTCATTGTGCTGTATGACTGAGGAAAGATTGCTAATGCCAGAGAGAGTAGGGACTCCCTTTCTGATTCTTCACAAAAATGATTTCACATGCCTCATACTTCTCAGGCAACTTCCACCTTCCTCTTCAGCTGATGTTGATCTGCCCGCAAAGGTCTATCTGAGAGACTAAACTCTGGGGGAAATGTCCTTAAAGCTCCAGAGCTGTGTGAGCACTTCTGTGGGCAGGGCCAAACGTCTTGGTATTATCAGTGTTCATGGTCACAGCGCAAACACTGACGGTTGCTAAGTTACAATGCTCTGACTGTGTGTGTCTAAGTACAGGCACCACACCCATGTGACCCGCAGCTGAGCGGGGGGCTGGGGGGGTGTTGCAACATTGGAAAAGATTTTAAAAAGACACAAATATTATAATATGTCTAGTTGAAAGTTAATCTTTTCAGGAGGCAAGATACTGTCCTGGAAAAAAGCTTCCTCAGAAAAAAGTCCCTCCTGAATGTAAAGTTTAGCAGGAACAAAACCTGCACATTGTCAGCTTTACTGTTATTCTAGTCATTCCATATTAGGGTGTGTGGTTGTGTGAGCTCAGAGATAGGCAAACATTCCCTAAAACATACCACACCTGACATGACAAAGGCAGAAGATCGCCTCTAAATGTGGGAAAACGTAACAGTGGAGTGTGTCGAAGTTTTCAGGATCCGATTTGGAGGTGTTCCACAGGAAAATGACATCTAACTGCTGAGCTCTCTGTACTGTTTGCCAGATTTCCTGCTGCTATGACACAGATGAGTGTGTGGAGGTTGCTTTGAGCAACGATATAACTCTGCACGCAAGGAAACAGAATTCAGAGTAAAGTGAAGAGGGTTGGTTATGAAGGCACAAAATGGCATTAGTCTGTTGCCCTGCCTCACCACATTATTCAGGAGAAGATTTTACCTCTAGACATCCACGGACATTGTCTTTGCTACTTTAACTAGTTAAGGGTCCGGATAATTCAGAATAAAAACAATAAAAGCTAAACTGTAAGATATTGATTCAAACTAATCCTGCCACATCATCAGGGTTTGAAACTTTTTTCCTCTGGGTTTGGTAATAGTCTGGCTCACACGGTTCCCCTCCTGCTGCTTCCTGCAGTCATGCTTTGGCTTTGTCCCTCTAAAGGGAACTCTATGAAGTGTCACTTAGGGGCTATCCCTGGTGTGTGTATAGGTGAGAGCACAGTACACCCTGGACAAAGCCCACAAATGTATCTCCAAAAATGATAAATGTTTCTATACCATGAAGAAAAAAATAAAAGTCTCAGTAAAGCAACTGTATGTGAATCCTCTGCCATTAGAATAAAGTATATATATATATAAACATAAGATATTTCTATGATGAAAACAATTAATAGAATTAATTTCTGCTGGAGTCTATTTGACCACTAGATGGAACAAGAGAACAGCAGGAATTCTAATGTTTGCCGTGACAATTTGATTTAAAACATTACAACTGTACCACAAATGCTTTTAAATGAATAACAACTAGTTATAATGAACATTGGATGCTCCCTCCCAGATGTGAGTCAGTGAGAGGAAGACTGGAACAAGACGAAAAGTCTGACTAAATATTTTCCATACTGGGAGAAAGGAGGGCAGAGTGAGATAGGGTATGAAAAGTGATGATTGTTATAAACTATAAACTGTATTTAACTGAACTTTGAGGGATGTAAATTAAAGACCAAAAGGATTGCACCCGGGCAGAAAAGTCTGTTGATACAACAGGCCACAGAGAGAAGCAAACATGCAAACTGACTTGCCAATGTGCAGTTTTTTGGAAGCTTTTTAACTTGAGCTTTAAGGACATGATTATGAGTCACAGACTCAAGAAAAATTGTGAGGAAGAGAGGAGCCAAACAGTCAGAGCACAGTGAGTCACTGTCTCCAGTGTTTTTCACTTTAGAGTCACATGCTTTTTGAACAAGAAAACACAATGAAGAGAAATTCAGTTTTATCACAAAAAAAAAAAACAGGAATTAAACAATATGTGCATTTAGAGCTTTCTATGGGTGGCAAAGGGGACAGAAGACAATCCATCAGAAGTCCGATGATTAGTTTTTTTTTAGGCTCTATGTGGATTTTAAAGAAAAGGATGTAAGAAAGCGTACGTGACAACTGTGTCATCACAAAAAGTGATTCAGCTTTTCACCCCCTAGCACACACACATATCAATGCCCCTTCAACAGGTTTCTTAAAAATCCATGCTTGTTTTTCCCCCCAAATATGCAGCTGCATTTCATCAAATTAACATTAATAGAAAACAAACAAAACCTCAATCAGACTCATTTTTAGGACCGTCGTGCTTTTCTGCGATATTGTGAAAACTGAATGCAGACTTGCATTTTATCGGTAGACAAATGAAGTAAGAACACTATGGAAAAGGAAGAAGTGATCAGACAAGAAGAGAAGAAGGAGAGTGGTTGGAGAAGAGAGGCGTGTCCTGGACGGAGGGATGCGGGGTGTGGTGATGTATAAAGCATCTTTCACACCCACCTCTCCAGCACTGCAGATCGACTTCCACCCTTCCGTCTCTCTGGACCTCCGTCTCGGTGAGTACAGAAACCTCAGACAGTATTGGGCTGTTCCGGGTTTGACATCTGACTTTGTTGAAAACTTTTTGTTGCATATTGATCTACTTGAGACTCTTAAAACTTAGACCCAGTTGCCATCGCGATGTGTGCAGTTTGTGTTTATTCTGAAAAGCCCCAGTCATTTAGTTTCCATTGCTCAGCTTGGCGTCATAAACAGATATTTGGTCGGCTACTTAACAAACTCTGCCAGGCTCTCCATTTCACTGATGACTTGCACATTTTAGAAATTAGAACAGACCCTCAGTTCTAACTAGTAGAATCAAATTGAGCATCTGAACAGTTGCATATTTTTTTTGTTTTTTATGCCCCCTCCTGCCTCAGTTACCATCTGTTTACAAATCTTGTGATGCGACCGTTTCCGCCACTAACCACACTCCGGGGACCGAGCTGCCCTAACTGAGTCACACTGAAACCACAGTTGAGTCTATTAGATTTATGGAGACGATGGGCAAAGCAAACACATACTTCCTAAAGAAGTATGCTGAGGTGACACCACAAAACTTGAGTAAAGCCATCGCCTTACATTCAACGTCCTGCCTCAGTTACCTGCAGAGGTTAGACTGTTTCCACAATAGAGTCCTGTGTCACTCAGCAGAGATGTTGCATTAGAGACCGGGGACAGAGTAACAAAAAGGAGCAGTGGGACCCAGGTGGAAACCTGAGGTTTATTTTTATCCATCTCCATGGAAAACTAGGAGAAAAACAATGGCAAAGACAACAGCAATGACGTTAGCAAAGGGCAGCCCCTCATACATTGTGGTTTCACTTAACAGTGCATTTACTCAGCTCCATTATTTCAATTGCAACCACTCCCAACTTGTGGATAGACATTAAGTCCATTGTTAAGATATTGTTTATGACCACATTGCCACATGATTAATCTGCAGCGGTTAATATCAACAGAGTCACCACAGAGAAGTCAAAATCAAATAGGGTGGTTTTGCCTAAATATTAAAAATGATGTCGCAATCTCAAAGTCTGTGGTTCATATTTCAACAATTACAAAAATAAAGAAAGGAAGAAAAAGGACAAATTGAGATAGATTATTTATTTTTTCCATTTCAGATTGTCTTTTTAAACCAGCCACCATCATGTCTGACATCCAGAAGGCCATGGCTCTCCTCATCACCTCCTTCACTAAATACTCCAGCAAGGATGGAGACAAGAACACCCTGAATAAAGAGGAGCTGAAAGAGCTTCTGCAGAATGAGTTTGGAGAGATGCTGTGTGTAAGTGACCTTTGACCTATCTCAGTCCCAAAAAACACAAGAGCACACTCCTACATAGAGCTTTGCATTCATGGAGTGGTGCATAGAAATCATAGGTACATTTATTTCTTCCTAATAAAGTCAAATGGAAACTTGTTTTTATGATCAATAAGAGTAACACAACATCACAAAACCAATTCAAATAGCACATAATATATTGTTTTATTTCCCTCATTTGCAGAAAGCCAATGACAAGGCAGCAATTGACCGAATCTTCAACGACCTGGACAAAGACAAGAACAACAGTGTGGATTTCGGGGAGTTTGTCAGCATGGTCTGCTGCCTCACTCAGATGTGCCATGAGTACTTCATCGGCAAGAAATAAGAAACCAAGCGCCACCTCTAGGCCAGCTGAGAGAGCTGCCTTTCAGTGAGATGGAGGACCATGGAGTCACAAAAACCCCGCTGTAATGCAAAAATCAAATAAAGTAGTTACAGTAGTCCATAGTAGTTACAATTTTCTGTGATACATCAGGTTGTTGTGATGCAAACACTCATTAGTGTTCACTGTCTTCAGATCCTTGATGACACGTCTCTTGCCTTACTGCTTGATTTACTGCAGGAAAAAAAAACAACCTAAAAATGCTTGTGTGTGGACAATAACAGCCGCACAGGCTGCACAAAACGCAGAAAACATCAACAAATGTGAACATGCTATACATTTGTTGTCTATTTGTCAACACTTGCTTAATTATCCTTCTATAAAGCTTTAGATTCTGCATCATAAAATTAAATATCTATCTATCTATCTATCTATCTATCTATCTATCTATCTATCTAT